TTGTTTAGTTTAAAGGAATCAGTCTAATGTTATTTTCTATTATTATTGGTGCGAGGAAGATAATTAATTTAGGAATCTGTTGAGCATCGGAAGCGTGGGAGTGTCAGGGTACGTCTCACACCCGTCCACCCGCCTGTATTACACACACACAAGGAAGCCATAGCAACACAAAGCCCACACGTAGTATCACACACCTATGTTTTTCTTTATTGAACCGTCAACTCATAACAAATTTGTAATGGAGAATATTAAATGAATCTCATTATAATTTTACGTCGTTTAACTGTGAGCGAGTCCCTACCCCAACACGCACACATTTAACGCCCCCTACCAAACACACTTGAACTTCATACACAAACTCCCAACTCATTCTAATTCTAATGACAATCAACCGAGGAGCCATCTTCGTGTCTTAAGGATGGCGACCACAGTCCACCACTTAAAAAAAAAGTCTGGGGATGATTTTACTATTACCCCCCCCCCCTCCCCCTCTCAGGCTTTACACATCTCTGAGAACCACAACTTTATTCCCACTCATCCATCCCAGTCTGTCTTCCCCTGGCCCACCTACCCTCAATTTCGTCCATTAATATTTCTACCAAAGTATCACATTTTTCTTTAGAACTATTATGTATTTTCTCCCTACGCTTGCCAATCACAATATTTCTTTTGTTTTTATATCCGCCGACTCCTCAAACACCAAATTATCGTTCGCCTCTAAACCTCCACTCTTCTGGCCCATACCGGACACTGGTATTTTGGCAACCCTTTTCTAACACTTAAATTAATTTACCCTTTTTAAACATGTGTCTTAACTTACTGAATTCTGTTTTTGCTTGACGCATTCTTGTTTTCTTTCTGTTTACATTAACCACCACAATTAATACAATGTTGGAGAAAACACTCGGCCGTGTCTATGTTAACTCCTTACCTCACCAGCCAAACTAATAAATTAAATATTTTCAAACTCAAGCCTTCTGTTGTTAATTAACCTGAAATAACTTTTTTTTATTGTTACATTTTGATCTTCATATAACTCATTGCCTTTCTAGTTTTATTCTACCAATACAAAGAATAATAAAAAAAAACACGTGCATGACTTAAGGTTTAAGCTAATTATCTGAACGGGAAATTCTAAGATCCTTTGGTATTTTAGGTAATGATATATTTCCGTGGACAGACAGGTGGCCGAAGGACATTTGGCCGACGGACATTTGACCGAACGGACATCGAGCCGACGGATATTTGGCCGAACGGACAATAGACCGAACGGACAAATGGCCGACGGACAATAGATCGAACGGACAAATGGCCGAATGGACATACGGGTAAAGAAAATGGAGCTGGTGAGAGGATATGGCTCCCGGACAGATGGCCGACGGACATTTGGCCGACGGACGTTTCACCGACGGACATTTGACCAGCTCCATTTTCTTTACCCGTATAATACATCAATTTTCCTTTAATACGCAACACAAAGAGAGAAACAAACACCTAGTTATGGCTACGTCACTGAGCTGGTCAAAATAATTCTCTCCGGAAGTGACTTGGTGAATCAGTCTGGATTATTATTCATGGAAGTGGCGAGTCGCTGAAAAAATAAATAAAAATATATACCCGGTATATATATATATATATATATATATATATATATATATATATATATATATATATATATATATATATATATATCAGTGGTATTGCACTTTTATAAGGTCGGTTTTATTAGCAGCACCCACCCACCCACCCATGAGTAAAAAATTTTAATAAAAAAGGTACATAAATTAGCTGTGATAGAGCACTTGTTATTCTAAACAATCACCGCTAATCCAGTAACTAGTTCTTACGTATACCTGCGTCACCATCACCATGACAACCACCACCATCCCTACCACAAACGAGGAGACCGGTACGGCCTGAGCTAAAACTGAAACGCAGGTCTAAGGTGAAACACCAAGACTGAAAAACTGATCAGCTGTGACATGGTAGATATTCCTAATGTTATTAAAAAACACGAATGAACCCTTTACAGGAAAGATAACTTCATGATCGAACGAGTCATGTAAACAGAGAAATGAGACGGCACTCATGATTTAATTTACAGCACGTTTGAAAACCCAAACACTTGTAATGCGATTACAAACACGCAAGTGTTGAAAAGTTAAAACGTAGACTACGATATTAATATTTTGTGGAACAACTGTGATACCATTAAAGACTACCATGAAATCAAGCCTCCTGGCAATGTCTGACCAAATCAAACAGGCCCCAGCGTAATACATTGCTAAAATTCTAAGTACCAGAACCAAACCATAATGGCTTGCTTAGATTACGTCCTGTTAAGAATAGCGCCCATTTCACACGTAACCTTTCCAAGAACACGATGTCAAAGGTGTAGTCTTCCTCGACCGAGTTAAGTGTTATTGACAACTGATACCGGCTTACGATTTATAAAACCTGATCGCATTTACTTTTTTACCGAGTGGAAATTATCTAGGAAATCAATTTTCTGATATTGGTATATATAATAAAATTAATTATTCACCTCACGAAACGACCATAAAAAGATCGTATATTTCAACCACGAGACAAGTCACGATAGAGGGGCTGTAATTTTCGGCCGTAACACCAACAATCATAACTTTTGATAAGAGAAATATTACAACATTCAACACTGATCGTTGAATATTGAATACGGTATCCAAACACTTCTGATAAACAAACATTGAAATAACCTAGAAAAGTGTACAAAATTTGGTGCGAGGTAAATGATGGTAGTTGGATAACTACTACGATCCACCATGAAAAAAAAAATGGCTGTCACACAAAGGGAGGTGGTGCTAGGTGCTTTTAAGAACTTTCGTGCGCTAATTCATTATAATATTTCGAGTACTATTTTTGATAAAACAATATAAAACTATACTGCTCAGATCCTCGGCTTAATGACAAAACGCATCAATTTCGTCGATTACCGAAAGCATCTTTTTCTCACAATTTATTTTAGAAAGTAGGATCACCTGAAGTTTACACCCATGCTTACTCCACCTGTTGATTAAACACGCTAACTTTACCTGCGATAGGTTTAGTGTTATGGCGTTTAATTATCAGATTAAACAAGCTGGGGGCTAATCTTCAGTCACCCTAGTTTAGAGGCATTCTCCACCACCAACAAAACAATTCTCGGGAATGACAGCTACCCGCTCAGCTTACCACCACCCATTACTGTCATCCTTAAACACACAAACACATACTTGTCTATATGGCACAAAATACTTCACAAATGAATCCTTCACTAGTCCCATCCACCTGAGAAGACACCATTTGACACCTGTCAATATTACAATACCGCTAACGCACTCCCGTAAAACATTAAATATTAAACGAATCACTTTCGAATATACTATGGAAACAGCTTACTTTAAACGAGTAACAGATGGAAAGCTTTATGCCATCAAAAATACGGGAACAAGCTTAAAATAAACGCCAGATAATTAAATACCGACAAAAGTAAATAATGAAACAATATTACAAATACCAGATGGCAACTATTCCCGCCTTTGTTATGTAACGAGCAAACGACAGAAAAGTCGGCGTGACACTTCAACTACTTGGACGATGGACGTTTCAGCCGGGCAAGGACAGCTGCGACAACCAACCGCTTGACAGATCCTTAGATAGGGCCAGGATGAGTCACGTACAGCAAGAATGAACAACACACACAAAAATCCTGACATAGTATACACCTATAACGTAATGAGCATTTACTAAGCTACATGAAGGCATTTTACAGTTTCCCCCCAAAGACGAGCACCAACGAGATTAATTTTAGAGTTACAAGCTTGTTCTGCCATCCACCATTACCCTGCACTGTTATGTCACATGGGAAAATTAGTAATTGTATCCAGACTACGTTACCTGGTACTGTACTCATGCGAAGAGGTACTCAACTAGACCTTTAAAACGTTAACCATAAAACCCCGCATCTTGCTATACTGTACAACGAATCCAGGTAAAAAAGTCACAGGTAAAAAAGTCACAGAAAAAAAAGCCACAGGAAAAAAAGAAAAGTTAACTATCGAATTCTCACATTTTTTAAGGTTAATATGTCAATCAGTTTCAGTAAAGGAATATACAGAACTGATGGTAACCTAACCTAACCTTTATTACCGGCCACCATAAATTAATTGTGACTTTTTTTCCTGTGACTTTTTTCCTAGCCAAAATTGTGACTTTTTCTGTGACTTTTTTTCCTGTGACTTTATTACCAGCCACCTACACAACACCCCTATGCTATACACGCTCCCTACCACCATCTAGCGTACATAAACCAACCTATAAAAACCATATACACTTACTCTATACATATTCAAGCCTGCTGTAATGATTCCTCTCTATGAAAAGCCTAACAATATCCGACAAATACAAGACAAAACGCTAATGAACCTCCTACACCTACCCAAAATCCTAACACAAGTTACCCTTTAAGCACAAGACTTCCAGAAACTTGATTACGAGTTCTTAAGATAGTCACAGAGAGGAGCCAACATTTCATTGTCTAGTGTTCTGAAAGTGTATCGTCGGTACGGGGTAAACCGAGTGTATTCATCTATTCATTCACGATCTATCTTACAACAAAACCTTTTACTTTTCATTCAAGGAGTCACTTCCGAATGTTGTGTGTGTGCACGTCATATACCCAATACCCTTATTTCTTAACCTGACACACACGGTAACATGTCTTCGCTTGTTCCTTGTTTAACGAGGGAGTCGTCTTTTATCCGTCTTCAATCATCAGACGATCGCTAATTAAACTCGGCACCTGATTTTTTTTTTTTTTCTAACCTACGTCCACCACCTCAGGTCGCAGCATCCCAGCTACCCACAAGCTCGCTCACTCACTCTCCCAGCAGACGACGCAACTTTCACTCACCTGCTATTATTTTCAACATTATAATTCAGCCTTCATGGGTTCCCCACACTTAGGTATACTATTCCTGCACTTACCATGACAAGCTGGGGGTGATGTTGATTCAAATAATGACAAATTCAGTACATTTTCCAAAGCGACACTCTCCGTCCGTGCTCCTCACCCTTGAGTCAAGGTATATACTGCTGGGTCGGGCCCGGCTTGGCCGCCAGATGGCATGCGTGTTTAAATCGGCCTGGCGGCGCAGTCTTTAAAACCCGTCAATGTTGCTACCCAGCAAGTACCAATATATTTATACCCTTTGTAAAACAGGCATTCATAGTTATTAAGTATACGATGGTAATATGTGGAGATACTTGGCAATGAAATAGAGAGTTACACTTATAAGGGAGCTCGGGGAGTTGAGGGAGTGGATTAGCAGTTACGCAGTCCTAACCATTTCCCCTATTCATCCCCATTCCCCATCCCTTAGGAACGAGTATGAGAAGGAACCTTTTTTTTCAGGAGTAATAGATTCTCTTCTATTATTTAAAAATGTTATGATATTTTCTAATGATTCTATACCCACCTTCCCAACCACCATCACTCTCGCCCTCCCTTTCCCTGTCAGTGATACCAGACACCCTGCCCCCTACCTCAGCCCCCATAATACCAACCCCCTACCCTCTCCAACCTATCCAAAATTTATCTATGCCTCACTCCGGTTTTTGAAGGTGTGCGCAATTGAAATCTTGCCCATTTGTCTGTCTTTTTGCAGCAAATGAAAATTTACCCAAAAGGTATAAGATGGCCAGCTTATCTGCTAGGTCTATTACTATGATAAAATAGAAGATTGATTTAGGTACCTTCACTATACAACACCTCCCTACACAAGGAAAAGGCCCCTTGGTAAGCTTGACACCAGTAAGAAGAGCAAGGGAAGAACACGCTTGGTTCAGATTAAGCAGAATAAGGGTCAACAGTCCACCACCAATACCAAAATACATCTAAAATTTATCAAATTCAATACAAAAACAAAAAGAACTGTATAGCCAATAAATACTGTACCTTCAAGTCAAACTTCAAACTTTCATTTAAACCAAAAAGATAGGACCACCTCCTTGTGAACTTTCAAAAAATAATTATTTTAGGATATAGTTTGATTTTACTTGTAACTTCATATTTCGAATATATTTAATCATCGAACATACGTGCGTTAAATGTTGATAATATTCTCGATTCCAATAAATTCATACTTTGATAACAGGTTTTAATTTAAAAGGAAAATAGGTCTTGTATACGCTAATGTATTTCCCTGTTAATTTAGGAAACTTCTGCTGGGCAAATTGAACACACAGTGCGGACGAGTTGCCAAGAATTTACATATTCTAATATATTCCTCAAGCCAAACTGTGTGTGTGGCAGCTAAGACCTACATTCTAAGTGTACCTTTGTTTAAATGTTTGAACAGAATTCCGGTATGATAATATCTTGGAAGTGGATCCCACAAGCAGTGTGGATACAGCATACTAAAGACTAACTTCCGATACACTACACACTACCACCTCTCACTTTCCCAACTGTAAAGTCAGGCACCCATTCTGCAGTTGGGTCGACTAAGGGCGCCCTACCCCAGTGGCCAACTGGTGTAGCAGTGCAGTAGTGAGGTGAACAATGTGTGGTATGCCTGCCTGCCTGGTGCGTCTGTTATGTACTGTATATGCTAGACCGGCGGTAATTATTACCTTAAAACATAACTGGTACATTAATCGGATTACCTGTAGAATAGCCACCCCAGCTTATTAGACCTGATGAGTAAACACCCTGAAACTACCTGGAGGTTAGGTTAGGTTAGATTAAGTTAGGTTAGGTTAGGTTAGGTTAGATTAGGTTAGGTTAAGTTAGATTAGGTTAGCGTTGGGGTGTTTAATCATCAGGTGCAATAAGCTTGAGTTGAATCTTCATGTAATCCAACTCATCTTACATTTAATTCTTATAACAAGTTTATTTAATTCTTCTTATATTTTATCCCCTTGACAGTGACTGATTTGTACCTCACACATTATTACTATATTTACACAGATTTTAACGAGACACAAGTTACCATGGCGGAGGTTCTTGTCCTCACAGCTGCTGAGTCCTGGTGACGAGTTACCGGCTAAGTTTGGTTTGTGTGGACACGAATCAGCTGTGTATTGACAAGGTGCCACGAGATTAAAGTTGGAGTGGAAGGATGTGTGTGTGTGTGTGTGTGTGTGTGTGGCAAGGTATAACGAGTGTACAATATACCTCTGCACATAAAGGCAGTGACCTCCAACATAATACGCCATAAAGTATACTCCTCAAGATACGACCTCTTTATACTGTGAACATTATGGAACGGCCCAGCGCCACAAAGCACCACAACAATGCACTACGGCCACAGCCTTCTGGGAAACATTTTCAAACACAGGACTTGAGAGCTGGCGGGAATTCCATTACGCACACTGCCAAATGCTACTATTGTTAATCTGTGCAGGGCCTTGTAGGTGCTCGTGTGTGTGTGTGAATAAGCATTCAGGGTTCAGGTCCAAAGGAGATTAATTCTTCAATATATCTCTGAGGTTTCACGCCAACATCGGGTCTTCCCACAGTGACCTTCAACCTTGACCTCTGACCTTTTAACCTTGACCTCTGTACTTTAACCATGTCCTCTGGTCTTTAACCTTGACCTCTCACCTTTAACCTTGACCCCTGATTTTTAATCTTGACCTCTGACCTTTAACTATGACCTCTGGTCTTTAAACTTGACCTGTGATCCTTAAACTTGACCTCTGACCTTTAAACTTGACCTCTGACCTTTAAATTTGACCTCTGACCTTTTACCCTGATCAATGCATTTCAATATTGACCTATGACCTTTTACCTTGATCTCTGACCTTTAACCTTGACCTCTGGCCTTTAACTTTCACCATTGACATATAACTTTGACTTCAGAAAGACAGACCGAAGGACTGATAGAAATACACAGACAGAAACAAGACAAACAAAAACACACACACAAACGTACACACACACACAATTACAATACCCTCATGGATAGTCATGTTGGAGGACAATATACCGGTAGTCAAGAAACTTGTTATTAAATAACTCAACAGTTTAACACAGGATACCCTAAGGTAGCAAGAGTATAATTATAACACTAATAATATAAAATCACTTTAAAACACATGACATTATATAAAGCACGGGTCACCTGAAAAATCTCCACCCCAGTACATCAGCCAGGAGAGATGACAATGCAAGGTAACACTTTGACAACACCGACGGGGTTTCCTCAGCTGAGTGTAACCGTCTACCGCTGGCCAGATGACAATACTAAAGTTACAATAGGATGAGAGGGGAGTGAATACATGTTGTAAGTAAGGTGTTCATTTGTAAAAGTGGGTGTTTATGATCAAATGGATCGTGGATATGATTGAATCTATACCTTGTAGAAGTAGTGACGTTTTGTTTAATCCCGTGACTACGAGATGGAGCTTCCCCCGGCAGAATAAAATAGATGAGGACAGTACCCACACCCACCCACACCACCTACCCACACACACCTACTCACCCACCCACAAACACACACACCCACCCATTCATCCACACCCCTACCAATCCACCACCGCCTACACTCACACACCTACCCACCCACCACCACCTACACTCACACACCTACCCACCCACCACCACCCACACTTACACACCTACCTACCCACCCACCAACACCTACAATCACACACCTACCTACCCACCAACACCCTACAATCCACACCACCTACCCACCAACACACACTCCCACACCCTACCTACCCACCAACACCCACACACACACTACCCACCCCCACCACCACTCACACTCCAGCCACCTACACCCACACCTACCCACCCACCCACCCACTCACACCCTACCCACCCCACACCTACACTACACACACCACCACCACCACCCACACTTACACACCTACCTACCCACCCACCCAACACCTACAATCACACACCTACCCACCAACACCTACTCACACACTCACCCACCCACCCACAATCACACACCTACCTCCCACACACACCACCACACCACTGTACCCACACCACCACACCACCACTCACCCCACCACACCACCCTCACACCTACACCACACCTACCCTACCCACCACCACCACCTACACTCTCACACCACCACACCCACCACCACCACACTCACACCTACCCACCCACCACCCACCACCACCCTACACTCACACCACCCACCCACCCACACCACACTACCCACCCACCACCCACCACCACCCCACTCACACACCTACCACCATCCAACACTACACCACACACCTACCTACCCACACATCACCCACACACACACCACCCACCACCACCCACACACACACCTACCCACCCACCACCACCTACACCACACACCCACCTACCCACACACCCACACCACACACACCTACCCACACCACCACCCCACCACACTCACACACCCACCCACCCACCACCACCCACACTCCACCCCACCACCCACCACCCCCACACCACACCCCCACCCACCACCACCCCACACACCACCTGCCCACACCACCACACACCACACACCCACCCACCCACACCTACACCAGCCCACACACCCACCACCTACCCCACCCCACCCACACACCCCACCCTACCACCACCCCCACACCCCACCACCCCACCATCCACCACCCCCACACCACACTGCCACCCACCACCCACCCACCACCACCCACCACACTCCACACCTACACCAACACCCTACCCCACACACCTACCTACCCACCCCCACACTCACACTCCACACCCACCCACACACCCTACCCACCACACACCACCCACCCACACACACACACCCTATACCCACCCACACACCCACACACCTCACCTCACCCCACACCACCCACCACCACTCACACCTACCCACCCACCACCCCACACTCACACACCCACCCACCCAACCACAAACCTCATACACCACCCACCCACCCACCACCACACCCACACACTCACCCACCACCCCTACCACACACCCACCACCACACCCCCACACACACCTGCACCCACCCACCCACACCCACACCCACCCACCCACCACCACCCACACCACCACACCCACCCACACCCACCCACCACCACACCTGCACTCCCACACCCACCCACA